GGGAAGCTTTTAGGCTTTTATGGTGTCACAAGCAAAAGTACAAGGTAAAGCGGCTTGTCAGTTGTAGATTGGTTTTTACAATGTGCCTCATAGTGACCATTTCTGGGAAACAGAAGTGACAAAACTATAACAGGAACTAAAGTAACTGCAGGTTACCTGATGTTCCAATGTGGGGGTGGTGGGGTGGCACTTTCTGCCATAGTTGCAGTCAGGGTTTATAAGGGAATAGATTTAATAATAGACATATAATTTATAGGATTGTTTTATAATATTCACAAAAAGAGTCAAATGCAGAAAAGTACAAGAGATCTATTTACACATTAGAGAGCCAAAGAATCCACCTGAGGGCCTGGATCCTGATAATGTCCTGTAGGAGACCAGCTAGAGGCCTATAACCCACAAGGTCTCTTGCAAGTCTGTTTCAAAGATCTGCACTGGGAAGTCTCAAAAGCCTGTGTTGGAAGCTAGGAAGTTTGCACAAGTGTGATGAAAGATCCATGCCAGCAGGCTGAGGGATCTGTACTGGAGAGAGAAAGTGGACCTTAAGTTAAGGACAAAAGCTCCCCAGAGAACTGCAGCCATCCTCAGCAACAGGGGATATCTGAGCTCCTTTGACAGTGAAAATGGCTGAACTCGTAGCAGGAAAACCAGCGTGTCAAGCTCCTCCAGCAGCACTATACCATCTCACCTCCAGTTCTCCTTCTATGCTGTTGGCAACAATCCTCAGGTGAGCTCTCCACACCCAGAACAACGCTGACTCAGTTCAGCTGGCAGTTACAAGTTGACTATTTGAAAACCCACCAAGTTTTGTAGTTAGTTTGCTTTGAAATTTTTCAATTTCTGACTCTATGCCTGACCCACATAAATATTTAAATCAAATATTTTCATATTTCAGCTATGAAAATGAAGTGTGAGAAAATATTGAGAGCTACCAAAAATGCTCTTTTCCACATGGCCAAACCTCATATCTTCTGGAGTCCTCAGAAAGTTTTCTTCATTTTCTAGTTACTAGATCAAGGCTCTCCAAAATGAATAATTCTAGGATTTCCTAATTTTCCTCTGTTTATTTTTAGAGATAAAAATTTAGCTGATCTATGTAAAAAGACAGAAAACCTGTTCAATGATTTAATCACTTTCTATCATTTTCTAAGATTATTTGAAATATGGACACATCTGAAAGACTGAAATAAAATTGAGGACAATAACCTTTATGTTCTCTTTTTTTCTGATCCATGACCTTAGCCTGTAATGAAACATTATGCCCATTGTGTGTCCTTATTTAACGTTATCAATATTTGTAATAACACTGAAATGTCCTCATAGGTTTTAATCTTCTGGCTTCATGAAATTCCCTCTCTTCTACTATCGAAAAATAGCCTGATTACTAGTGAGCTGCACAACTGTTACAGCATATGAAATTTAATATTCTAGGAGGTATAAGGAAATCATACAAGGAGATTAGGAGAGAGAAATTTGAAATGAATCTTATCTACATTTAGAAAAGGGATTGCCAAGGACTATATTCTCAGAAATTCTAAATTTGGACAAAATAGAGAAGTGTTTCCTTTGCCTCTAAGAGATCTAAGAGAAAGCACCTGTGAAAGGGTAGAGACTATTGGAAGGTTAAAAATGGGTGTAAAGTTAGAGTCAGAGTCCCAGCCATCTGGGAAGAATAAAAGGCCACTTTGTGTTTGCACTGAGCCCTGGTTTCTGGAGAAAAAGGTAAGAATCTGGGCCCATCATTTTTAGTTTTAGAATTGGCGAAATAAAAAAATTGGATTAAAGTCAAAATCATGCAGATAGAAATCCTTTTGACTCCACATTAGTGAAACTTAATTTGGACCTGTAACCTCCAGGACGCCAAGAGAAAACATTGTACTGCCTTATGCCACCATGTTTGTTATAATTTCTTACAGCAATAATCAGAAATTACAAAAACAAAAATAAAGACTAATCAACTAACATAGCTCATTTAGCAGTAAAAGTTTGTTAAGAGAACTTGCATGCAATTCACACCAATAAGTTTTAAAACGTTTGTGAAAAGAAACAAGTTAATGGAAAATATGTATTGTTCAAAATAGCTCAAGAAGAAATAGAAAAACTAAACAGAAATATAATCATTGAAGTTGACTGGTAATAGTAATCATAAATCCCTAGATAATTTTAAATGAAGCAGGACTTTTCAGTATGTCTTATCCATGACAACATTAAGCAAGACAGATTATAGGATGTATTCCTAAAGGTTGAAATCAATAAATATTAGAAGTCAAGGTTAGAGAAAGAACTTCTATGAAGAAATAAGAAAAACTCCAAAATAGAAAGCGCTAAGAATAAAACAGATAATTCAAAAATGAGACAGACATAATAAGTGAAAATAAAAAGTATCAACACCCCGAGTTATCAGAGTAAATCAAGGTAAAAAATTCCCATGTTATTTTTATCAAATAAAATTAAAACTGATTAAATTATAACAAGAACTTAAAGAGTTGGCACTGTTATGCTTTATAAGATGGAAAAAAAACTATACAGAGAAAAATTTGTGTAATTGGGAGAGCAATTTGTTTACACTGTTCAAAAATATAAATATCCACAAATACAGCCATTGCAATTCCTGATGTCTATGTTAAAAATTCAAACATATGAATGTATAGTATAATTTACAAGAATGAAGCTTAATTTTAAAAAAAAATATAATCGATCAACAGTGTAATGCAAAAGGTAGTTCATTAATACCCTAAAATCCAAAGCTATTTTCAGAAAAGAACTGATAACACATGTTTTAGCATAAAAATTCTAATAATATAATGTTGACTATAAAAAGCAAATATTGGGTTAATGCATATTACATAGTAACATTTATGATAAAACTAAACATACAAACAAAATATGCTGTTTTGTGATACATAAGTACAAAATCTGAAAAGATCTGTAGGGGAAAATCCCTAGCAGCAAGCAATGTGCCCAAAAAGGTCAGGCTATGAATTTCTCTGGCTGTCAAACAGTATTGTCTGCCCTATTATTTTGAATAATTGAATGAGAAGTTTCATAAAGTATTTATGTCTGAGTAAAGAAGCTTTCAAGGACATGAGTATATACGAATACAACAGAAGACCATGTTTGGGATAGAAGTCAGTATCAGAGCACAGGTTGTCAAGGATGAAGGAGGGAGCCAGAACTGGGGATCGCCAGGGACATCGGGAGGGTCCATGCAGTTTCATATGGAATGTGATTTCAGGGATTTTACAGAAGAACCCTGGAGAAGGATAGAAAAGTTATAAGTAACATGACATTGCTGCTGCCATTGGCCTTACATGAGGTCTGACTGTAATGGTCTGACTGTGGAAGCCTGTTTTGGTCTCACTTTCATTGTAAAGCTTGCTCTTGTCAAGCTTTGAGGTGAGTGGGAAGAAGAAAGAGAAGGACTTCTGGTTTAACTCTATTAGGGAGACAATAGGGGGGGTCAGTGGGCTTCACATTAGGATGAGATTGGAGACAAGAGAACAATCACAAATAGATATATGTGGATACAGCACAAATTCATGTGTATTTCTGATATGCCAATCAAGTCATAACAAACTGACTTACTAAACTTGGACATTTTCAGTGATTATCTCTTACGACTATTTTCTTAAATATTAATGTTTATCCTCTACTGGATAATATCATTTGTAACTTAACTCATGAGGAAGGACAAAATAGTGCTTAGGAAGGGACAAATTTCCTGATCTAAATATCAGAGAGGATTCAGATTGGACTATCACAAAAGTTACATTCAATGGGCAGCTGCTACCTGCTGCTGAAGGGTGCTGCACACAGGGAGGGCATCACAAGCACAGGGAAGCTTTTCAACAGTAGGAAGCTGGTTACCCTGCAACTTCCCAGGACGTGGCATGCATCTGTGATCTCATCTGCTTAGGTGCGAGTAATTACAAGCCAGCACACAGAGATGAAATAAACAAGCAAAGAATTCTCAAATACTTTGAAGCTCTTCCAAGCACCACTCATTGATCTGTTATTTATAAGTGCACCAAGAATTAGAACTTGGGTAGAGACTTTCTATGCTTTTTTCTAGCTGCCCATGCTTCTCTTGGTTACATTAAATTAATTCATAAAGAGAAACAACTGTCATATGTAAAATTAATAGCTACACTCCACACAATCACATAGCAGTACACAAAATCTTGGCCACCAATTTCCGTGGTGATCATATGCTTTTAAGTGGATTCAACATTCAAATAAATAAAAACACAGAATTCAACAAGTGATTCTCAGTACATTTTTGGACCAATGGCATAGAGTAATTCTTTATATGAAAGCAATAAAATTAAATATCCTCCTCCAGATAACTAGTAAGTAAAACTCAGTGTCACTTTTTGAAAGAGCAACATTTTATTCTTGTTAAATTTTTACAAGAACATAATAGGCTAGAAATATTACAATGGACATTCCTGCGGGTGGTAGAACAGTGTGCCCAAGGTGTCCCATCCAACACCCTGAACCCCAGTCAATAAAAACAAATCGCAAAACAATAAACTAAATAAATAATAGGCTTGGAAAGATCTAAGTATTGACTTTTATCATTTGATTTAGAACTGTTTTATGATTGATGAATTATAAATATATCCTAGGACTAAGAAGGAAGAAATACAGTAATTGTCTTTCATAAAGGCAAAATATTACATGGTAAAGAGTAAATACTTATTAAATAGTAACCAGTAGGTAGACTGGAGAGAAAGTCAGTGGGTCAAAATCAATTTTACTGAATTATGCATCAGTGTGTCTCAAATAGCTCGACTGCAGATCTCCTGAGATCCAAAGCTCAATACCAACTGCCAGTCTTTGTCTGCCTTTTTAGGCCTAGATATCGACAGCAGATAAATAGACAGATGACAGTTTGATGTGAGCTGTACTTTTTCTCATCTCTACATGGACTCTGTGGTCTTTTTACCCAAACAGCCTCATTTCCGGTTTAGAGAAACACCATAGAAACCCAGCAGGTACTCACCTCCGTGGCCAGGCAGTCAGAGACCGAGAAGGCTGAGTCTGCAGAGGAGTGTGGGCCACATGTTGCTCTCCAGCCTGCTGAGGGTGTCTGTGGCCTTCATCTACTTCGGTATGGACGGTCCAAACACAGCCAAGAATGATAACAGTAAAGGGACCACAGAGTGGCCTGCAGTGCTTCCCCTGGACTAGAGGAAAGAGGGATAGAAGAAAAGAAATGGACTCTGACATTAGTTTGCTTTAACTTAGCACCCTAAATTAGCCTAATGTTTGTAATATTGTATTCACCATATGATAAAATCAGCCCTGTTTTCTGATTGACTCTACAGGATCCAGTGCGGCCCAGACAGTTACTCAAGCTCAGTCAGCCCTGTGGAGGCCGGAGGGGGAAGCTGTCACCCTGGACTGCTCCTATGACACTAGTCAGAGCTCGTACTCACTTTATTGGTATAAGCAGCTTCCTAGTGGAGACATGATTTCCCTGATTCGTCAGCATTCTTTCGAACAGAGCACACAGAGTGATCGCTATTCTGTCAACTTCCAGAGAAAAGCTAAGTCCATGAGCCTCACCATTTCAGCCTTACAGATGGGAGATTCTGCGAAGTACTTCTGTGCTTTAAAAGACCACGGTGTTTAAAGTGATAGTAAGAGCTGAACAAAAACTCAGGAGCTCCGTGAGAACCAGGCCCTGCAGTGGGAGGTCAGCAGGGACTCACACCTGCAGACCCCAGATGAGAAGAGGGTACTGTGGTCGCCTCATTTGTGGTCTAGATCAGAAGGTTAAAGTGTGAATAAGACCTGTTTCCCTCTCAGTTGGGAACTGGTGGAATGTCTTCTTTCTCTGTTTCCCTCTCCCTTTCCCACTCCTCCCTTCCTCTTCCTCCTCCTTCTCTATGTTGATTTAAATAGCCCATCTACATTTTTTCTTTTTTGTTTTTTTTTTTTGGTACCAGGGATCAAATGTTATTATTGTTCTAAGAAAAAATAAAACAAAATTTCATAACAAAATAAGATAAGAGCAATAGTTAATACACAGTGTATCAGTATTTTCCTTGAATTTTTTATTCTAAAGTCAATCATATAAAATGTGTATAAAGTCATCTAATGTTGTAAAATTGCCCTGTAATAGGTTAATGTGTCACTTTCCCTTGATCACATGCAAAGCCTAATTCTATGTATACTGATCTGGAAGAGAAGCGAATGTCTTTGCTTAGCCATGTTTGCATGAGCTTTGTGTTGGCTACGTGCAATCCAAGAAGCAGAACCACCAAGACTGATGTACAGTTAGAGAAAAACCATACAGATTAAAGCTCAGGAATTTGTTGAAGCTTGAGGAGTCTCTGCAAAGCCATTGTCTTTCCATCTGATACTGATTCTGAGCTGACTGAAATCCCACTAGATGCAGATCTGGGAAGGTGAGCTGGGTGAGGGTAAGCGTGTGGGTGAACTGTGACATCTGAGAACATACTGGGCTCATGAGAACAACGGGAACATGCAAGGACAGACTGAAACTTGCCTGTCCCTCAAGTCCTTCTATATGAGCTGCTTGGTGATTTTCAAAAGAAGCACTGTCATTTGCCAACAAGCTACACACACTTGTGTCCCAAGCTGAGGAGAAGCTGAATCAGGGATGTGTTGGGAGCCTGAGAAGTTGTATCAACAGGAACATTATCTGGCAGTTGAACCAACTGTGGGGGAGGGGTCCAGAGCCTGGAGCCAGGAACCTGCAAAACATGTGAGAGGTGACTTTCCCATCACACTTACCTCCCATGTCTCAAACCTTTTTCTTTTGTGGCAAACTCTAAAGCAGAACAATGTGGGAAATCAGATTCTGGGAAATACACTGTCAGAGAGCCGAGGCAGTGCAAAGCTACCAAGTGCGTGCTTCTCAAACTTGATGCAATCTCCTTTCACAACACTTAAAAATTGAAAAGAAACAATAGACCAATCATGCTGCCGACTACTGTGGCATAATTATTTATCACCCCACCAAAAGAAGCTAACCTAAAGTCCCAAAGGGCATGCAAAGGCTTCTTTAGGCATCCAGGGGGATGCTCATCCCTGCTCTAGCTGAGACACACTCTCCTGTTGAAGTCCTACAGTTTAAGTACAGTACTGAGATACAGTGAGATATAAGATTCTCTCTCATGAGCACATCTTTTGCTACTACATGAAAATAAATGGGAGGAGAGTAAACCATTGTTACTGTATATATGAACTTGTATATGTTATATTGAAATGCAAATTCCACAACTATTATTGTCCTTGTTTGCACAAATGATCACAAATTTGTAGCTGGTTTGCACAAGTAACTGTTCCATCATCGCCTTGTTCATAAAAAACACTCAACCAACTGATGTACCTGACATTTTATAAAACAAGCTCCCCAGTCAGGAGCAGAGCTGAATAGCATACTATGATTCTGAATAAGTAACTCCATCAGCCCTCCACACTCTTTCGCCAGGAAAGTTACAAGCAGGTAACTAAAAGTAAGTCCGTATTTGATTATTGTAGGTGAATAAAAAAACAATAAAATTTTAGCAGGACTTAGAGAAAACTCAAGTACTGAGTTCTGAGAAACAACATTAAAGATTATGCCTGACGTCTCATGATGAGCAACAGAGGCCAACAGGGAAAAAGCATTTGAAAATTGCATAACAAAAAGTAAACTTTTAAGCTATCTTCCTATTAACATGAAAGATATGTTAAATTGGCTTTACTAAAAACTCACGTGGATGTGTGCCTATAGTTTCAGCTACTCCCAAATTTTAGCTACTTGGGAAGCTGAGGCAGAAACATTGTAAAATCAAAGACAGGAAAAGAAAATTTAGTCAGTGTCTTTCTTAAAAACAAAAACAAAAACAAAAACAAAATCTCTTTATGATGTAGAAAGTCCATTCAGAGATTGGAAAACTGTATTTGTAATATGTGTTTCTTTTCTTCATTGTTATCATTTTAAGCTATGTAGTTTCACTGTGTTGTCCAAAGTGTACTAAAGTTCCTGACATCAAGGAATCCTTCCATCTCAGCCTCCCAAGTGACTAGAGCTACAACCATGCGTGATGGCACCTGGCTCTGCGATGCATGTTTCTGAAAAAAAGACTCCATTGCAGAATATGCCAAACATTCACAAAAATCTTAGAAACCATCAATCAAAATGATGAAAGCTTAGCTGATTCAGACATATGACAATGGCTAGCAAGCATAAAAAAGGGCAATAATTACACATTTGGGACATGAAAACAGAAACATAGTGAGACAGTGCACTCAGCAGGAAATGATCACAAAAGCATAACAAAAACTAATGAGTACCTGAGCAATGATTAGGGAAAAGGACAGTTAAGTGTTCTAGAAGCTTCCCTCTCTTAACACATCTGAAGAGAAGAAAACCCAGTAATGAGCCACGAACCAGACACTGAACTGAAGGAAGGGAGGTTTTACCAAGAAAATGAAATTCAGTATTGATCGTGCTACACATGAGACACAGTGTTATACATTTTTTCATTAATTTAAACATCAAGTTCCTGTGATACAGATTTAAATGTTCCTATTTTTAATGTTTGGGAAATGAGACACAACTTTTACTGATTTTGAAATGATTTTCTGTCTTTGTTGTCGGCCAGGGTGCAGCATCTGAGAGGTTCCTAAGGGTTTGACTACGGAAAAACACTGGACAGAGAGCAAGTGACCAGCATCCAGGGAAGGTGACACTACTGGGTTAAACTGGGTCCCTAATGGAGGAGAAAAAATGCCAAACACAGGTCCCAATTGCCTAATGATCAGTGGATTAAAATCAACTACGCAGTTACCACAGAAAACTTTGCTACTTCGCTACTATGAGACTAATGCCTTAACCAGTCTCTCCTACAGCAGGGCGCTGGGAAGCATGAGGACTGGAGGAGGAGGTGTCCCCGAAACACTGAGATGATATGAGGACCATCGCACTTGATTTGCCCGCTCTGCCTGTAATGCTTTCCTCAAATATCTGTGTGGTTCACCCTTGCTCTTTATGTCTTTGCATGAATGTCACCTCTTTATGAAATCTGTCCTACATTTATTTTCCTTCCTTAAGAACCATGCTGCAGCACACTCCCTGTGTCCAGTATTCTATCAGCACTTGGCTGAAGTGCTGCCCCCTGGTGTCCTACTAAAATATTCCATGACCTTCATGCAGATGGTGCAGTCCTCCGGAAGTCATGAGTTAAATTGTGGCTAAACCTAAGCCTAATAGAAGCAGGGGATGGTGAACCAAGGTCTCTGGATTTAGGAGAGCAGTAATGGTGCGAAACAGAATTCGAGAGTACTGGCTCATTGCTGATCTATTGCTCAGATGTGAAGGTGACTAATCTTGAAAAATAAAACACATGGGGTGGTTTTGGCTACAAACTATCCCTTAGTTTGTATTGTTGTACAAGTTTCTCTGCTAAGTGAAATTGTGTCTAATTTTCTGCCTGTTAATCTATTATACAAGTATCCTTAAAGATAACAGAGGACTTACTGATAGAGAAAAGTGAGCCATCCTAGGGAACAGTGAGTGGTAAAAACTCTTTCCACGTTCTGATGGGACTCCAGTCTCCACCATAGCTTCAGGGTGAACATTTCATTGATCGTAAGAAATATGACAGACCATGTGTATCTATGATAATACAGGAAATCTAGTATCTAAATTTCAGTGTACACCTCAGAGAATTGTGAGCTTTATCTTGCAGATAGACTACACTCAAAGTTCAGATTGCATTTCCAGATCTCATATTACTTTATGCACGAAGTGGATGTGACTGAATGCCTAACAGGAGTTACTGTCCCAGATAATTCGGACAAGTGTTCTCATTTTTATTGGAGTTCTTCAAGTTGATGCCTTCTTTAAGAACCTTGTGTAGCAAAGTTCGTGATACTATAAACTGGAGATGAAGTTTAAAGCAGTCACTCATTATTTGTCTAATGTTGGGAAGAGAGCTTAATAATTCTTATGCTTAGTTTCTTCACTCCCTTCTGTGGGTATTAATAACGTCCACCATAGTAGTTAATAGAAGAAGTAAATGAGAAGGTAAATGCCAGTGCCAAGAGCACTGCAGAGTGACAAGTTGTTAAAGAAAAGGAAATTGAATTCATATAAAGTTAAATATTTTCCCCAGTGTCACTATGTAAGCATCACAATAGAGTCTTTCTTTCATAAACTATGAAGAGAAAGAAAGTCTATTATCAGAAAACTGTGAGTTTTGTCATACTGAATGAAATCCATGTGTTGGTCTGATATTCTAGTGGGCTCTTCATAATCCATTTAGTAAAATTCTCACAAAAAGGATATTTTGAACTACTAAAAATAACAATTTCAATAACAATAGTATTCCAACAATAACAATAATATTCTTTTGACTGTAAAAGACATCTTAGACACAGAAATGTTTAAACTGTGGAAAACAAACAAGAAAATGTTCATATATTAAGAAACATAATACAAGAGTTTTCAATGTATGTCTGTTGTTTGTCTGCTTAGTTAAGTGATTAAAACACAATTTTAAAAGATGCGAGAGCACTATATGTTTCTCATATAATCTTCTTTCTCACTTCTATGTGCTAGTAGCGCTCACGGAAGTCAGTCATCTTCCTCTATGAGGCTTTTTCTGATTTGAACAA